ATAATGTAAAAGTAATATAGCTCTTACAGAAATGGCTTGATAAAAGCAACTATTTGCCATTCAGCAGTTTCATTAAGCTAGGGCTCCCTACCAGACCAACAGCACATTTTCATCAATTCATGGTGACAGATCATGACTCTGAACCGTAGATGAATTTATCATTTTAAATACTTACTATCAACCCCACCTTGCCTCCAAAAAGAGTTACCTAGTGTTTAACGAGAGGATGCAGTTAGAACTTTTTGGCTGAATAGATAATGCCCCATCTAACTGTTGCAAATGCATTCAGGTGACAGGCGAAGGGAAAAACATCAAGTGACCTCAATTCCACTGTTGATAAAATTAATAGATGAATTTATCATTTTAAATACTTACTATCAACCCCACCTTGCCTCCAAAAAGAGTTACCTAGTGTTTAACGAGAGGATGCAGTTAGAACTTTTTGGCTGAATAGATAATGCCCCATCTAACTGTTGCAAATGCATTCAGGTGACAGGCGAAGGGAAAAACATCAAGTGACCTCAATTCCACTGTTGATAAAATTAAAACTGGGAAAAAAAAAAAAAAAAGATGGATAAAATCTTGCCACAGATCAATTGGAAAGCACTTCCCCCCCCATCTGCAAGAATCACACCCTTCCTGGTCCACACTTTTCAATAACTTCAACAACAACAAAAAAGTAAAGTATTTTTCCTTATTCTGAAAGGCAACATGAATGGTTTTTTGTTTTGTTTTTTAAAGACATACTGGGTGTGGACAGTAATTCTCTTTCTTCCTATATAAAAACAAGAGCAGATGAATATTCTGAATCCTACTTGCAAATTCAATAGTATTCAAGAGGATAGAACAATCTGCATAGAAACATCCACACATTTAGCATTCCGTACACTAATAGAGCTACACTGACCTACACAGCTAAAATCTGTGATTGTGCCCTAGATTTGATAGTCTTTCAGCCTCCCCTACCCACCAAAAGATACAACCCAGTCCCTTCCGTATCAGTCAGTCCCCCTTTCCTGCGGCACACGACCCTAGACCACCACAGTCCCACACAGCATCATTACACCAGAACACACAACTCTGGCAATTTCTTTCAGCTTGTTTTGTTGGTTTCCCCCCCACACACACCTCCACTTCTAATTAGGGAAAGGCCACCAAGATGCATTAGTTCATTCACAGAGATGCCCTCGAGGCAGTAGCAAGCAGTAGGACATCCCCTTCCACATGCTCTGCGGACGTTTGCCTTGCTTGTGAAAGCAGAGCTCAGGAACGTCACCGTCTTTGAGAAGGCCAGGTTTCCACCAGAAACGCCGGCTGAAACCTGAGCGTGGTTTAGTGTCGATGAGTCCAGACATGCAAGTTAAAATGTATAGTTCAGCTTACGATTAATAGTTGCAAATGGAACCGGTTATTAAGATGGAGTGCACCTTTCATTAAGAAAAATTAGTCAATAAAATTAATGAGTCGTGTTTGTACATTAGAATTTTTAACATCTCAAGAAGTATTACAAGCAAAAAGAGCCTCCCTTCCGATCTTCACAAAGGCTAAACGTCTGTCCATTTTGGTAATCGGAGAACGGGAACAAAGCAAGGGAAAGGCGACTTTAGTGTTTTTTCTTTTTAATGTAGTCTTAAATCATGTTATGCTGAAATTCAATTCATCTAAAAATAATTAGTCACGAGAATTTGTTTTGATTTGCATTATGAACACTTCATTTAAAAGTAAATATTTTAGTGTTAATCTTCCCTTTTAAACTCTCTTTACAGAAACAAAGAGCTAAAACCATAAATAAGAGGGCATTAAAACCATAAAAATGACATTTGCCAATATCTTAATTTTTCAGCCAGACTTGATAAATCTATCAAAACCAGACAGTTAAATAAGAACCACATTATAAAAATTAGCAAAAAAAGGACTATTAGGTAACTCTGCAAACTCAAATATGAAACTGTACTAAACAAAATATGTGCAAAAGTATACAAGAGTAACTGCATATAGCAAGGTTAAGCCTGAATTAGTTTTAAAGCTTGCCCCGGTGAAACTGAATTCAAAGTTGTCCCACTGTATTTCTTTTTTCTTTCAACTCACATTGTAAGTCAAATAAAAACAAGATACACATGAAAACTTCCAAACGAAGCTGGTACTGGACAAGCACAGAGCAGGACACTCACTCAGCACGAGTGCAGCATGCCACTCACAGAGAGTTCCTCAGGAGTCCTTAGAGAGTAGTGTACAAATTCAACACTGCATACAACAGCACACGTTATACTTGACAACTTGAGAATGTTCTTGGGTTTTCTGTCTGTGTTTTTTTTGTTTGGTTGTGGTTTGTTTTTGTTTTTGTTTTTTTTCTTTTTTTTTCCTTTTGAGACAAGCTTGCTTTCTTGGTCAAACCTCTGATAGGAAAGCAGTGCGATTTTGCGTTGCAATGTTTAATGCATAAAAAAACAGCCACCTAGGCCCTCCGAATCGTTCTCTTCTAAGAGTAAGGACTATGGGTGAACCAACAGTCTAGAACTGTGTATAGTTATGTGCAAAACATTCACTAGCACTCTGAATCTCAGGTCTATCATATGGGCATAGGAAGTGACAGATGCAGGTAAATAGTAATTTCAGGATCCAGCACATCCATCTGACATCTACAAAATAGCCAACGGAGTTTAAAATGGCAGGTTCTCCCTAGAAAGTGTATTGAAATGATTAACAAAGTAACAAAATGGGCAGAATCTAACTTTGGTGAAAAGTCTGAACATTTCACATAATGCTCAACAAGCCAAAGTAAGGTACCATCTGTAGCAAAGACTAGATTTAGATTAACTGGTAAGTAGAGACAACTCTTCAAAGATCATAACTGTAAACTGCAAATCTACTTCCAAGTCTCTTACACACTGTTCAGTCCACGCAGGCCACGTTCATTTTGCTGTAAAGACTTCCGCCTGGAAACACTATTAAAAGAAAGTTCCTTTAATTGGGTCTTTATAGGAGAAAAGGGTTAGTTGTATTTGTAGACTGGGATGCTGATGGCGGGATTCCTGTACTGTGAAGAGGTTGGGCCATGGATCCTGCAATGCTCATGTTCAGCCCCTGGCCCATCCTTGTTATAGTGCCCATAGCTGGTATCGGTGCCATTCCCACAGGCACTGGGGCCATGGAAGACAGAGGTATTGGCTCCATGCTTATCGGTGGCACAGCACTGAAAGAAGGGCTGGTTCCCATCACAGGACTCGCTCTCATCTGATTCAGAGTGAGTGGCTGAGGCTGATTCACTTGGAAGGGGTTGATTGGAGCTGGTGCTGTAGCAGCGCCTAGTTTT